TTTGAACTTAATTACAAAAAGAAAATTCTTGTATCATGATGAATTAGCCATCAAACATGTTAAATATAAAACTTTATCATCCACAAAATCTCGCAAATTCGCCGATTGTTGTGTTTCATTTGTATTTGGACGACAAATTAAATTAGGACTTATTAGAGCGATTGTAAGCGATCCAAACGATAATGGAAAAATATTTATTTTATTGGAAGATCTTATTGATGAATTCGCAAGACATCATTTATTACAATTTAAAACGAATAACACAACATTCTCAACAATTCCGAATATTTACGTTCGAAAACGTTCTTCGTGTCTTATTCTTAGATCGTCATCGCATATTTTGCAGAAACATTCTTTCAAATTTCTTAATAATGAAGAAACTATTGAAATAATCGAATATTCAAATCTTAAAGAGAGCAGTTGAGTGAGAGTTGTCATATTTTTTTCTAACATGTCTTCGATTTTTTTTCAACTGTAATAGATAATAAAGTATTTTATATTTGCTCATAAAACTTCTAGTTCACACAAGAAAACTTATAATAACTGGAATTAGTTTTTCAACCATTAATAGTAACAAATTTCTCTCAATTTTTTTCGAAAAAAATAGCCAAGATTATATATTAATTTTTTTTTCATTAATAGTATTAGTCTCTTCCTATTTTTTTTCGAAAAAAAAATTATTCAATATCATATATTGAAAAAAAAATTTTTCTTTAAAAATAGTCAAGATTATATACGAAATATTTTTTTATTAATAGTAGCAATTTCCTCTCACGTTTTTTTCGAAAAAAAATTAGTTTAGATCATACACGAAAAAAATTTCATCAAAGTTTTATATATTTCATGACGAAACGTAGATTTATTCAGGCTGAGAATGTCATATTGAGATCATCTGGTTAATGCAAGCTTCATAATCGTAAGTACATTTGTTCGAATCTACTGTTCTGCATTTATTTCCGATAGGTCTCGAGGGCTCTGGTATTCGTAAGTATATATGTTCGAATTTACTGTTATTCAATCAGTGTCGAGTGCTCGAAAATAAGTGGTGGCGAAAATTTTTTGAAAATTATCGAAAATTTCGAGTGGTCGAAATTTCGACCGCTCGGAGCCCTGCGAAACATCGACCACTCGATATTTTGCAACTTTCATTTCACTTAGAACCTATCGAGAAAGGTCATTCGATTGGTATCGGAATAGCTTATCGAAACCAATCGAAGCAAAGACAAAAAAGGGATCGAAAATCATCGATAGTGTGGTCTTCAAGTACCAATCGGAATTTATATTTCGAGCCCTCGAGATAGAAGATCATATAAACTGCAAAATACTTGGAAAAGCAACCCATCGCGGAGCCCTCGACCCATCGGAAAATGGCAAACCCAGGGGTCGATTTGGAATTTCGATGCCCATCGGAAGCCTAAATCGACGCGTCGAAAAGCCTATCGAATGGTTGGTTGGGTTCTCACTAAAAGCTTCGTTAGATGATGAATAAAAAAGAAAAGCAATTCTGATTATTTACAATTTATCTCTAAATAAAACCTCGACAATGGTATTAACATCTTCCTTTTTATTGTTTGAATCCATTAAATAATTATTCAAGATACGATTTACGTATACTATAACAGTACTATTTTTTTTTCATAAATAATGCAAGCAAACTTGATTGTCTCTATTAATTTAAAGAACTACATATAAATTACAATATCGTTATATTATCTTTTACAAAAATGAATTCACATTCTCTCTACAAAAGAAACATTTACATTTCTAATTTAAAATTACTTATTGATAAATTCATTATCATACAGTAATGTTTACGTATAACACCAGTGAATATATCAATACCATAATTCTCATTACTTTTACCTTTCTTTATTTTCTTTAACGTAAAATTTTAATATATGTACCTTGCTACGAATATGTCTTATTTCTGCATACGTAACTACAATTAAGAATAATTGATGATTTCAGCACAGTGAATCAAAATTTTTGTTGAGAAAAGAAAGCATTCCCAAGAGGTCTGCAATAGATTGGGCAGCCGAAAAGTCTCGACCTTAAAACTTACACTCATTATTTTCTTCTAAAATATACGTGAGTTCTACAAAAATTGTTACAAACTTATAATTGTTTTTCATGCAAGTCAGTCCTTCCCAAACCTCGAACAGGAACCATGGATATACACGTCAACATAAAGGTTGATGAATTGAAGAAGTTGTTGAACAAAAATAAAAACAATGAATACTAAGTAGGGATGAAAGAATATTGGTTTTTATTTTTATTGTTCTTCTTCACACTTTTTTTCTGTGGAAAAACTATCGTCAATAGCAAATATTTAACAAAAAAATCTAGTTAATTTCTTGTTCATGTGAACATGCAAGCATCATCATCATCATCATTATAAGATGAAAGACATCAGACCAGACTAAAAACTTTAGCACAAATCAACTTTTTTCATTTGTTCCTCGAAAAATTTTCTTTTCTCCTCTTGACATTATAATATAAGAAAAAATAAAAGATGAAGCCACAGAACAGCAAGACAATGAAGAGAAAAAATAACAAAATATGATTATTATTCTTGTGTTACTTTTCATTGTTCTTGTCAAGTGGCTATGGATGAACCAACAAATTATAAGACAAAAAAAAATAGAAACAAAAAATGTTCTAAATAAAACAAATTGAATTATGTTCATTTTCAGACAAAAATGGTAGAGTCGGTTAGTGCATGGTATTGACTTACTACTAGGAAGCTTTATTCTTTTTCCTTCTAATACTAGTCTAGCAAGAACGTCTTTTACCAACCGGTCAAGATCATTATGTGTAATGATTTCGTGATGTTTACTTTTTTTTCATAAATTTTCTTTTTAAATGAATTAATTTAATCGATTTTCATGACGGTTTGTAGCAACTAAAATTAAATAACTTTGAGAAATAAGCATAGAAATTTAATAAATATGCATAACGATAAATTTCTGTCTCTAAACGTGATCGATACATAACATCATAATGAATATGTTAGTTTATTATTAGATAAATATTTCCATTTGTTTTTTTTTATAATGTTCTTGTTCATCAGAAATGTTCTAAGATTGTAGATTATTGATTAGTTGATCAATTCCATTCGATAATGTATATATCAATAAAAATAGAATAAACTTTAAATTGAGAAAACTCGTTCACTTGTAATCTTTGCATCACTAAAGACGCCTATTTTAACTTTAAATTATTCCGGAGATACATTATCAAAAAGATATGTTACTAACAAGAAAATGTGTCATTCACTTAAATCTGAGACTTCCTCCTGTCATAATCATCTTATTGTATCAACGAGAGTATTTATTATTTAATACACTGTTTGCTAGCTAAACTTTCGTACTGTAATAGATGGAACACATATCTCTCTTATGACAACTTACAGAATCAACTGCCATGGTTTTGTGAAAGGTGTAGTCGAATGAAAGATAATTATGTTTTTTTTTTGAACCTTTTGATATAGACTAATCTCATTGACTAATGCTATTTTTCGATCAGTCGGGTGATGAACATGATGCACAGAAAGAAAAATAAATTTGTCGAAAGATCCATTAGAAATATGGACGAGGATTGTTTTAGTTCACCAATCATTTTACCGAGCGAATGAACATAACGAAGAGTGGCATGAACTTCTTTTTCAGATAAATTGAGAAAGAAAAAAGCGTTTATGCATGTTTTGTTTTTTGTGTAGTTGTCTTGCATTGTTAAAAGTCACACCACACATTAGTCCTAAAGAAAAACTATTTTATCGTGTATGAGCTCTTAGATAACTAATATTGGGATGTGGATGCGGATCTTCACGTTATCAACACTCACACTCACATTCACACGCATCTTCACAAGAAATAGAATCGCGCAATTTAATTCATCAATTGAAATGAACTAATCAAATTTTAGTAGGTCTTTTCAGTGTGGTTTTAATGATAAGTACTAATCAGGTTCGAGTCAATCCTATGGTTATTGAAGACGCTCTTCGGAATGATGGTTATGTGTATGGGTCTCCTGCTAGCCGATCGCCAAAGAATAGAATGTCAGGCCCATAGAAGAGATGACTGTAGCAATTAATGATGCCACGCTAAAATTTGTCTTATTTGAATGACGTGATCCATTTACTGCTATCTATATATGAATGTGACACAAAACGGTGAATAACTATTGATCTTGCTTCGAATCTGCTTGGCACAAAATGGAACAAAAGGGTTTTAGAAGAACTTTTCTCTCGTATTTAAAGAAAAACTTCTAGTTATGTTTCGGCCGGTCCTATGGTTATCGAGAACGCTCTATCGAATTAGAGATTTATGTGTGGATCTTCCCCTTCATTCTCACCGAGAAATAGAATCTCAAAATTTGATTCGTGCATTGTAATAGACCAATCAGATTTTAAAGATTTGTCTTATTTTAACTTGATTCTACCTATATCAGCACCCATATCCGATTGAGAAGGTTAAAAATCAGTTATGATTTAAAATCCGGTTTCAACTCGTCTAATCGGTATTAATCGGATAATATTCATGCAATTCGATTGATTGGATTGAAGATTTCAATCGATTGGAAGATTGAAAATAAATTTTTGATTTTAATCAAGTTTCAATTGCAATGATTGATTATAATCAATTGATTGAATTAATTTCGGGAAGGATTATCCGAGTTCAATCGATTATCATTCGATTATTGTTGAAAAGCGCAATTTTTGTTTTTCAAAAAAAATGGATTTTTTCAGTGAGCATTAAAAATAATCGAGATTTTCGAAGGGATTTTTTTCGCTGGAATGTTGTACGCAATTAGTAGATTTTCATTGTTCAAAGGTTCAATAAATTCTAGTATCGATTCTGTTAATTTTTATATACATCTAGGAATAATTTTTATAAGCGATTGCTTGTACTTTTAAAAGTTCTTTATAATTTGCATTATCTCGCAAAATTTACTTTTTTTTACGAGATGTCTTTGCTATTAGGATAATAGCCGACACTATATTAATGATAAATGGAGCGACAAAAATGAAATATATGTATAAAAGAACTGTATGTTTGTAAACGAGATGGATAAGTAGCAATAATACACCATATTCGTTTATCATCTTCATTATCTTCATCAATTAAACGTCGATAACGAGCATTATAAATACTTGCAGAAACAACGAAAATCGAAAGAATGCTGATAACTATTTTAGCAAGACGTTTACTTTTTTTCTTATTAAAATTGATACCTTTTGATACTGCAATCGCTCTTTCCATAGCTACACATGCCTTTAACCATTGATCCATACTAAGACAAACTCGTAAAAGAAAATCAAAAGAGAAATATTGAATTTGCAAAAAAATAGTCGATTGGAGATAACTGTCATTTGTGCAAGAACAAGTATCCAAAATTTTAATACAAACATAACTGTTGTTAGTAAAGTTATGATTGATGAACCAAATAAATACCAATCACAACCAACTTGACATAGTAGTGTATTATTGAATGTTATCAGTGATAAAATTCCATCAATAAGTTCTGCAAACATACCGACTATTGTTACTGTTAAACTAAATAGTACAATAGTTGGTTGAATAAGATAACCTAAGATAGGATCAAGTGATGATAGACGAAATCCATTTACACTAAACTGGCATTGTATTCCACAAAAAACATGATGGATACATATATACTGATCTTCTTGAACATATTTGATCGTCTTGAAAACATTGACTTCTACTTTCACAAGAACTTTGACCTAAACAATTATAATTCATATTATGATTAAATTCAAAACAATTAGCTAAACGTTGTTTTTGAGAATTATAACATAAACACATATAAATATCATAATAAAAACAAGAAAAGATTTGAATTTTTTTGACATGGTATGTGATAATATTTGATACGACGAAGAAGATGCCTTTGAACGAAAGGGTGTGGGTGTTATTGTTCTCTATAATAACACCCACACCCACCCCGACTAAATCAAAATATACTTTCATGCTAAAATACAGCTAAGATTCTACATCAAATTATTCCAACAATAATTATCATAGAAATATAAGAAATTCCTTGATATCAACGCAAAAGTTTAGAGGCACAAATACATTTGAATAATAGGGATAGTTATCTCCGATCTTCAGATGTTTATGGAATCATTACTGGTAATTCAAGAGACATATCTAGAAAATCGATTCATACACTCATATTCATTATAACAATCAAAATAAAACAAATAGTGAAAGAAAAGTTGTTCAAGTCAACAGATGAATGTCACTATACATATCATTTGTTTTTATCATATTAGATTTCTTGCTTTTCTATCTTCTAATGAAGAAAATAGTATGCGTAATATGAGTCAGTTGCATCATTCAATAAAACTATGGCACTAGATTTTTTTTTTTCACCTACTCAATTGACCAGATTTTTTTATGTATATAAAATCTTTATTAATCACATCTTAGCATTAGATTTGTTTAACAACAAAAAAATTCAATTAGAAAACAATTTAATCTAAGAAAAATCAGTGATCAATTTCAACTAAAATTCTTTCCAGATAATTGTCTCTGTTTGATAACGCTTAATTGAAATCGATATTAAATAACTTCTGAATGATTATTTGGCAATGTTTTACATAATTGTTCAATTGCTTCTTCAGCTGATATCAATGATTCATCATACTGTTTTAGTCTGAACAAAGATCTGGACAGATCCATATAAATATAACCAATTTGTTTATCATTATCCGGTAATGACTTACGATACAAAAGTAATGGCACAAAATGTTGATCCGTATTTTTCTTCGATAGAAGAATGGTGAAAGAAAAATTCTTTAACAAAAAGATAGACCTTTTCTTCTCTTTGAAATCATATATAATTCATATTTTTATCGCTTTTATAAATGAAACCCCATAGCAAAAAAGAAAGGCACCCTTAAAAACATTTTGCACTTTTCGTCAAATTTAGAAAAATGGCACAAAATATTGATTTCCTTGTTTGTTGAATAACCCTTCAATAAACACGTTTCGAAAAGACAATTTTATTACCAATCGATAGAAAATTTTCTCCTCTTTCGAACAGCATGTAGTTTATTTTTAGGGTGTGGGTGTGGGTGTGGGTAGGGGGTGGGTGGTTGTGGGGGGGTGGGGGTGTGTGGGGGGGTGTGTGGGTGTGGGGTGTGGGTGGGTGGGTGTGGGTGTGGGGTGGGGGTGTGTGGGTGTGTGGGTGGGTGTGGGTGAAGAGAGAATACCCATACCCATCCACACCCACACTTGCACCCGCACCCACACCCACATTTCACACCCATACCCACGCCCACACTCACATCTCACACCCATACCCACTCCCACATCCGCACCCACATCCACACTTACACCCACACCCAGATCGTGGGGATAAAAATGGTATCATTGAAATATGATTTGTTGAAGCCAAATTTCTGTCAAGTTTTATCGCTTATGAGTTCGTCGGTTATACAGACAAAACGATAGCTGAAATTGAATAATTCGTTAGCGACAAGAACTATCTGGATGCTATTTACGAATTCTTTTTACTGTCAGCATTTTGTAAAAGAATCCTTTCGTTTTCCAGAGCCCAAACAATTATTTCGTAATAGATGCAACATGTCAATATGCTGATAATCTTTCACACGTTTTTTTTTCGGCCTTTTATCCACCCTTTGAAATTAATCATGGAAACACTACGTTCTCGTGTTCGATGGGTACTGTGATTCAATAAGATGAAAGAGTTCGCAACGAATCGAAAATAAAGAAAAACATTTTTTTCAATAAATATACAACGACCCATAAATATTGGACCGTTCATTTCGATATATGACACTTCGTTTCTCCTATTCATTATTTGCGATTCGCCCCATTCCATTTCGTTACAAATTGTAGCTATTTATTTTTATCTGAGGAACTTGAAGTAAGGATTATTTAATAAATCCAAGTGTTATTTGAAATTCATAGTGATGGAAGTTGGATATTTCTTTGTTGATATGATAACCCAGTGGAAATGTCTCTTCAAGAGGTATGGGTATGGATAACCGATCACTAGGAATATTCTCTTAATCCACAAATACGTTCACACTCAGATTCACACCCTCAATAATGTTGACAGTGGCTGTACTGTTGCTGCTTATTCGTTCATTTATACGAGCTTCTAATCAAGCAATAAAACAAACACAACACATTTATTTGTGATTTACTTTTAGTTATGGTCACTCTACTTCTTTTTGATAAAAAAAAATTACAAAAGAGGATAAAATCGAATCAGCGATGGGGAATGTTACAAATATTATTGAGTATATACATCAGAAAAGCCATTCGGTTAAGGATAAACTGAATGCTTGTCATTATCGTGCTAGTTTTACATTACTTTTCGACGGACACGCATGTACAAAATTCATTGATTTGCGTCCTTCTTCATTAACAATTGCTTTTGGGGTTTATATTTTGCTTTGCATGCTTTTTTAATCATCTGTTCTACTAGTGTCCAGTCGTAATCGCTTGATGATGCGACAGCAATGAGTACATCATATCTATCAAAATAAAGCTCCTTTAGTTGATATTCAGCTTGAATACGTTTGATATTTGCATGTTCTTTACCAATGAATAGGCCAATACCATCTTTTGGAAACGTATAACGTCTACCGTTTTCAGGTAATTCATAGTTACGATTGCCACCTTGGACTCGTGGATAAGCGGTGATAACTACACCAGTTTTGCTCACTACCTTATCGATGTATGCATTGATATGACTTTTTGATCGCAACAGTTCAACAGCAGGAATCTTTCGTTCTGTGGCTCGTTGAGCCGCATGACGGCTCAAACGAGGTACATCAAGAGAAAAGTCACCATAATAAGAATCATTATATGTTGTTAGATTCTTTTTTATGAGCTTGGTCATGCGTTTATGGATAAGATAAACCTCTTCTATCTAAAAAACATTGTTCGAAAATACTATGTAAGTATTTAGTGTTAAAGTGCACCTTTTCTGGTGTGTACAGCCAGCGATTATTCACCGACTAATATTTCTTCTTTTAACAATATGAGGGTGTGGGTGTGGGCAAGGAGGAAAAAGCAGATTTTAGCATTTAAAATCTCTAAAATCTGTTGAAATCTTTCAAAATCTTTTAAAATCTTTTAAAATCTCTGAAAATCTTTTAAAATCTTTATATTAGAGGTGAGTAGGTGTAGGAAGTTACCATTATCGGTAGGTGGTAATGGTATCCTTGAGGCCACAAGTTCTACTATAGAGGATACCCTTGCGTTCTCACATCTTATACTAAGGATGTATCTTTGGATCCTCAAGTCCTATACTAGAGGCTACGCTTGGGTCCTCATGACTAATATAGAGGGTGCCCTGGAGGTCACAAGTCATATCAAACGGGGTACCTTCGAGTCCTCATCTTCTATTATAGAGGGGTACATTTAGGTCCTCAAGTCTTACACTAAGGGAGTACCCGCAAGTTCTTAAGTCCTATACTAAAAGGGTACCCTTGAGTTCTCCATTATTAGTAAAGAGCGGTACCCTCAGGCCCTAGAGTTCTACTACAGGAAGGTACCCTTGGGTCCTCGAATCGTATATTAGGGAGTACTCCTGAGCCTTCAAGTCCCATACTAGGGGTTGCCCTTGGGTCTTCAAGTAATACACTCAACAAAAATAAGGTACCGCACGAAACCAAAGATAGTTTTGTAATCTCTACGAAAATTTTAAATGATTTCGTATGAAGCACGAAACTTAAGAAGTTTTCGAATTTTGATACGAATTCGAAGCCTTTTTGAGGTTTCGTATGATGCTTTTGAGATCTTCCAAAAATATTCATGAAGGTTCGACAATCATTTTGAACCTTTCTTAGGATGTTACGAAAAGTTAAGAAAAGGTTTCGATTTTGTTGCAACAAAAGTTTCGTATGGTACCGTACTTTTTTCATACTACTACTCTGGTTACCATTATATCCTCAAATTGTATCCCCATAAACTTAGTCCCCTTCAGAAATGCCATTTTTCAATCATTCGGCAGACATAAATACAAGAAAAACTAAATAATTCGTGCACATCCACAGGTCGAAAATATCAACCAACAAAGGAGACACGAAAAGTCCATGCACGCTAAGTTGGCATCACCATTATTGCTCCTCTGGCATACATGAGTCGAACCTATTGACGCGCTAGCCAACCAGTTGTCTGATCACAACCGATCAAGTAAAATACAGCTTTCCATAATAACAGAACTGCATCGAATTATAACTTCAGAGTACATAAGTATCGTTTTCTTATGCAACACTAAAACCACATTTTCAATAAAACAACGAAAACGACGACACGTGGAATCCTTCACTTCTGAGTAAGAAACGAAATCAGGTTACAATTACAAGTCATAATTTCAAATCGACGATACAAATGTTTCTGACCGATCCCCACTTCCTTGGAGTGCCCATCTCTTCGATCGAGAAAATCAACTGCAGGGTTCTGAGATACTAATCCCGGTTCTCGCTTTCCCGACGCCGATATAGGCTCGCCAGCCTTTAGAACAGTTCGTTATTTTCTCAAAAAATCATCCATACGATGAATAATGTAGGTGTCGATGTTTTCTTTATCTTGTCCCCAATCATGTCCCAAGCTAATAGTAACTTTTTTCAGACACTTACTAGCTGGGAAAAGGTTAGGTTACTCCACTGCTCTCTATCTGATAGCGCTTCAGAAACTATCAGCACCCAGTCCGATTTCGCCTCGGCAAATCCACCTGTTCTATCGAGTAGCACTTCAAAACTATTGGTCGCTCATTCCGGAACTGTTTTAAAGACTTCAGGAACCTGTATACCAGATTACATGAGGTTATAGGTGTACCTTCTCAGATTGCTGCTCATAGCTAGTCGCCTCTCCCAGATTATAGACCATGTGACATTCAAGGTACATCGATAGTTAGAGAAGTTCGAGAGACTTAATCGTTACAATCATCGGGTAACGGACAAGTTACTGTCCTCACTGTAATCCTAGAACGAGGAAACTATCCCACTACCAGCTTCCTGGTAACGGTAAGATCAGATTCCTAGTACCGCCTAGTATACAACTAGAGAATCCAAAAATATCTTCTAATTTGGGACATGGGGATCCAAGACTAGCCCCTCTAGAAGACCTTGAGGATTCAAACGTTCCCCTATAGTAGTACCTGAGAACTCAAGGATGCCCTCTATAGTAGGACTTGAGAACTGAAGGGTACCCCCGCTTAGTATAGGACTTGAGGGTTCAAGCGTACCTCGCTATAATAGTACTTGAGGATCCAAGAGTATCCTCTATAGTAGGTCTTGTGGTTCCAATGATGCCTCCCCATAGTAGTACCTGAGAATCCAAAGGTAGAGACGGGCGGAGTCACATTTTTTTATTCCGATTCTGACTTCGACTCCGAAAAATTCGTTGTTTTCGACTTCGATTTCAACTTCAACTTCAACTTCGAATCTTTTTTACTTTTTGACTCCGATTCCAGCTCCGAGAAACTCCGAATCCTTTTTTTATAGAAGAAAAGGAAATCTCAAATATATTGTATTGTTTAATTTAGAGCATGTGGAAATCAATAATAAGGTAGCTACATTACTACAGTGAAGACTCTCTAAAGTGAGCATGAGCGAGACTACTAAAAACGTTCATAATAAAAAGGTGTTCACCTTCGAGACGTCCATTTTCAGCAACAATTGACTTTTCGGATTCGTGAAAAACGCCAATAATAACGAGGTTTCCACTGTAGAGAACGGCTCGCTAGTAAAGGTTTTACTGAATTATTTTTTATTATTATTACTCAATAATTGGTAATCATTTTATATACTTTATTACTAGTAATACAGTAATAACAACATTGCTTCTATGAGTTATTACTTTTAATACTATATGACTTGATAACAATTTTAGTTTCTGACTTTTGCTACTTTCATAGATTATTTCTAATTACCTACAGTAATTAATAACCTTATATGCTATTACTTACTACCAGTAATAATAATGCAACTCCACTCGATAAAGGAAAAATGAGTGAAGAAAAACCCAAGAATCATGAACAGATTAATCTGG